AAAATGGAGATTTAATGATTTATTTGAGTTAAAATACTTAAGTTAATATGAATTATGTTTGTTGACTGTGGAAGAGATGCACGAAAGTGTTTTTGTAACCAACTGATACACTTTGTATAGCATGTAAAGAAGGATGCTGTATTTGTTTTAAATTAAAAATTAAAAAAAAATATTTAAAAAAAGAGAGAAAACAAAAGCAGTGAAAAAGGAAACTAAACCAGGAAATGCTTTGCTCACCTACAGGTTCTCCTCGACCTACAACTACAATTGAGCCCAAAATTGCCGCTGCTAAGCAATTTGTTCAGTAAGGTTTTACAACCTGTAAAATGGAGCAACCTGTAAACCACACTTGTTAAATGAATTGATGCAGTTGTTAAGTGAATCATGCAGTCATTAAAGAAATCTGGCTTGCCCCCTTCACTTTCCTTCTTGGAAGCTGGCTGAGAAGGTTACAAATTGTAATCACGTAACCCCAAGACAATGCAACTAACCATAAAAACATTCCAGTTGCAAAGTGCCCTAATTTTGATCATGTGGCCATGGAGATTGCTGCAAGAATCAAAAATGTGAAAACCAGTTACAAGTCACTTTTTTTATGCTGTTGTAACTTTAAACGTTTACTAAACAAATGGCTGTAAGTCAAGGACTACCTGTACAGCACTGACTGAAACCTTATTTCCACAAAACCCATTTAAATCCCATCTTGGCTTAGCACATGTAGAAGCATTAAAGTATTATGTTCCATGTTTCGAACTCAGGAGTTAAACTGTAGTAATTACCCAATTCCTTTTGCCTTTTCAAGCATTCTGCCTTCTTCAAATATGCTTTGGCTCTCACTTCTTCAAAGCACAGTTCAGAACCTTCACACTCAAGAAGTGCCTTGACATACATTGCCTTCTGCTCAAGGGCAGCATGACTTGATGGCACTGGTACAACTTCTGACTTGGAAATGGTGGTGATGTACTTGGGTTTTTCTCTAGGAAGAAAAAGGAACTTAGGGCGCTTTATTGCAGAGCCAGAAACAACACAACAAGCAATTATGCTTAAGCACATGCTTAATGTTCTTTCCAATCAATACAGTAATATTAATATTTTGAGAAATGCTATTAAAACAAAATTCAGCAGCTAGATCACAGGACATAAGCCATGGGAAATCAAGGCCCTAAACCTTATTCACAAACTAAACCTATTGATTTGGATCAGTAATTTTCTCATGATTAAAAATGGGACAGGCAATATACATAGTAGGCTTCTTAGGAAAGATTAAAAACTTGAGCAGGTATGATATTGGGGGGGATAATTCAAAATGGGTGTAATATTGAATAAAATAAATCTTATTCAGAAGTCTCTATAGGACGGGTTAGAGTTAAAAAAGAATCTTGATTTCTTTGAACCGCTTCCTAATGCATGCTTTTCTCATTTTCCTCAGCTAAAAGTCAGTGGAAACATTGGGATTGCTCCCCCAGATTCAAAGAATAAATAAGTACATATGGGCAAAATGTCCCCTTACACATACCAGATCTGGATGAAACAAATGAACTGATAGTGAAATTATGAATGTATCTATAATTATTGAACATTGTGTTCCTAAAACATTGATTACTTACATATTCCCTTGTCCCCCGCAAGTCATAGGGTATAATTCAGAACTGTTTGAATTCTAAAAAAAATAAGACAAAAGTTCAAAATGAGGACTTTTTTTTTGAAAATTAAGAGGCAAAGAGACTGAAGACAAACTTTGGATACTTTTTCTAAATCTAAGTGAATGAAGCATCTACTGTACTATATATGTTATTGTTATACAAGTATTCATTTAAACAAGAGTTGGGGAGGTGTAGAGTTTCTTAAAAAATCAAGAAGGGAAGTGCTGTCAAAATGTTTGCTCTAAATGATAGGGAAATGTGGCAGGCAAGTATAATTTACTACAAGATCTTGGTGTGCTGAAATAGCAATGTATTTGCAAGGGTTTCATCACAAAAAAAACCCCACATTAGTCATATTCAGGCATCACACAAGGAGTCGGAGTCCCTGTGGCCCTCCTGAATTTTTAAGCCCCAGCATTCTTGAGCCTTGTCTTACTGTCTGGGGGAACACTCGAGATTGTAGCTCAAAAAGGATTTTCATCAGTGTGAAAATGAAGTCTAAAGAAATCTAGCTTTTAACTTGCAATTCTTCTCCCTTCCTCTTAAATGGCTGCAGGTTTTTTTTTTGAAGAGCCACAGTTTTTCAGGATATCCAAACTTAGATATTGATAATGATGTTTTAGGCCAAGGGTGGGCAAATGCTACTTGGGTGGGGCCAAAACACAGCATCCCAACCTGCCTGCAGGCTTCAAAGAGCCATCTGGTGATGTGGTGAGGACACTGGATAGGGCAGAGCTATAAATATCCAGCCAATTTTTTTTCCCCTTGATGTGGACCTTTTTAAACATGCAAATGGGAAAAGTTATATTTGGTAATGCTTTGACAAGCCAAGTCTTAACACCATCTAAGAATTCCAAACAGTAATTATTTGAATGACGGCATGTTTTAATGCCATTAAAAAGTAAAAGGAAAAGATCATAATCGTAAGTGCTTAAACATAAAACGCATCAGATCTTCATCTATAGGCGTACAATTAACAAAGAAAAAATGCATGTAAAATTGGATTTTATTAATATCCTGGTACATTTAATAATATATTTTATTTTTAGTTACCTGACTCTGGTAGGGACAGGTTGAATCCTTTTTAGAAGCCAACTGATTAGACAGCTGAGGATTACGTGGCTGCAAAACACCAACTACAGAAAAATATACTATTAGATGTGTAAAGGTGGGTACCAATTATCAGAAGTAACACGTACCAAAACATTGGAAGTTTCAAAACCAATTTTACCCTATGCAAGGCCTTCCAGATGTTCTAACTACAACTCCATCATCTACACTTGACACAGCGGCTTGCTATTTTGGTTGAGGATGTTGGCAGTTCTTATCCAATGCTTCTGGAGAAGTAAGGCCTATTCCCCGGGGAAGATTACAGAGAGCTAAACTAGATTTTATTAGAATAATCTGTTTCTTTATGTTCACATTTTCAAGTTAGGCCAACACAAAATGAAGATTTTAAACATTCTAAACAAGGAGAGATTTAGATTGCACTCTCATTATATTGAAACATTTGTTAAAGTGATTTTTTGCCCTAATTTACAATTTTTCTTGCCACATTTGTTAAATAAATCGCTGCACTTGATAAGTTACTAACACAGTTAAGTGAATCTGGCTTCCCCCTTGATTTTGCTCATCAAAAGGTTGAAAAAGTTATCAAATGACCTTGGGACACAACAATGGTCATATGTATGAACCAATTGCCAAGCATCTAAATTTTGATCACATAATCATGGGGATGCTACAAAGGTGTAAGTGTGAAAAATGGCAATAAGCCTTTTTCAGTGCAATTGTAACTTTGAATGCTAACTAAATGAACTGTTGTAAGTTGAGAACTACTTGTATTACATGCTGAAACAGTAAGCAGTCAAGAACAGACAAAAAGCAGCCGTCTAGTGGACACAGTGAAGAATCAGTGGGGTCTAGTGGTTAAGGCATCAAGGTAGAAACCAGGAGACTGTGAGTTCTAATCCCACTTTAGACACAAAGCTAGCTGCATGACCTTGGGCCAATCACTTTCTCTCTAGGAAAGACACAATAGCAAACTACTCAGTGCCCAAAAAGGCAAAAACTGATCTAATATCATGGAATTAATAGAATGCTATTATGGTAACTCCATGCTCCATGCTAATACCGGTAGAATAAGCTATTTCAGTATAATGTTAGGAAAAACATATCGGTAATTATTTATTTTGCCCTGTTGTTGAGATCTATAAATGAAGGAGCCGGATGATACTCCAAGAAGCTTTACTACGGATTTCAGACACTGAGCTAAGTGAGCTAAATCGTCTGCAAGGTCAGCACTCTGATGCTAGGGATTAAAACTAAGTGTGAGAACTGGACACGAGCAGATATTTTGAGCAGATAGATAGCAGTACATCCAAATAAGAGGATGCCAAGAAAACAGGAAACAAATAGGAATTGGGCAGAAAGGAAAACTCAATTTTTTAGAAGTATAATCTATGAAACAAATTATAATGTATGCCAAGAAAACTGCAGAGATAGATTCTAAGAACAGGATACAATTGAATGAAGATAAATAAAGTGGACACAATAAAATGTATCTCTACAATAGAAGCATAATAATGCCAGCATGACAGTGGGGTTTTATTTTTTAAAAAAGAATACTAATATTGGAGGAGCTGAATTGTAACGCTTAATGTCTTATATCCTATATACAAATAATTTAAGGAAACTCATGCAAGAAAAATTCCCTAAACTCTGATCCTTCCTATGTTCCCCAAATTCTGGGAGATGTGGGTTTCTGAGCTGAGTGGAATGAAGCAAAAGGGTACTGTCTCATATGCAAGTCTACCAATCTAAAAAAATCTGCCTAGTCCTAAAGCCCTTTCTTAAACACCCTCCCACTTTCCCAGGCAGCCTGTTCTGCACCGCAATCTTGAAGGAAGAAGTGTTACCTTCTATGAATGCAATGCATCTTATACGTTAAATTTCATCTCTATTCTCATACATTAAGCTTCCACAAAATTGATTTTTCCCCCTTTTTGCCCAATTCCTATTTGTTTCCCTTTCTCTTGGCATACTCTTATTTAGATATGCTTTCCTCTCTGCTCAAAATATCTGGTCCTGTCCAGTTTTCATACCTACCGGTAGTTTTAATCCCCAATAAGAATGCTGACCTTGCAGGCAATTTAGCTCACTTAGCTCAATGTCTGAAATCCATAATAAAGCATCTTGAAGTATTATTTGGCTTCTTCATTTATAAAACCCAACAACAGAGCGACCGTGGCACGACAAAACCACGGTCCACTAAAGCACGCCTGACTAAAGCGCGTCGCTAACGTCATCAGCAGCGCGACAACAACGACCACGGCGAAAAAAGGGCAAGCCGGTTCACGTAAAGGTAAGGGTTAGGTTTAGGGTTAGGGTTAGGTTAAGGGTTAGGGTTAGGTTTAGGGTTA